TTGATAGCTGGGCACCATCAGCTTTCTTCACCACATTTGCTTATGCACACATCTGTCTTCAGCGATCATGTCGGGAAGGTAGGTATCATGAAATGACCATTTAGCTGAGCAAGGTGCTCTTGTATTAAGGGAAGGCCCATGAGGAGGCCCAATGTCCACCTGCCACCGTACTACTAAACCTATAAATATGTGCACCTAGGTCCATTTCCCCCATAATCTTAAATATATTTACATATGTACATGTCTGTGTTTAGGCTTCTATGTATGCCCTTTGCCTCCTACTTCTTTCCTCTATTTCCTTACGCTTTCCTCCTTTCCTATTACCAAGTTCAGCCTTCATTCTGGTTTCAGTAATTCCTCTCAGTTACCTTGCCCTTGGTCACTCCCTACCAGTCCTCCCACGCCCTCCCTACCATTGGTTTTGAACCATTTGTTGTTCCCTTGTCCCTAGGTTGGCCAACACCTCCTCCCTTCTCCTACCTCCCACACTCCCATGTCCATCTGGGGCAATTGAGGCTGTTATCTATTTTACTTTGTTATTGTTGGGTTTTGTTTTTAATGTTTTCTGTATAAGAAACCCAGGGTAGGTAAAGTTATAGAGACAGTGACTGGATTACTGGTTCCTTGGGGCAGTTTGGGTGGAAATGGTGAACTAAGAACACTGAGTACAAGAATGAAGAAAATGTCCTAAAACTAAGTGTGGTGATGATTGAAAAAGACTTCTTGATGTGATTGAACTATTGAATTGTTTGAGATGTGAATTACATGCCAATAGAACTGCTGCAAAAAAGGTTTACCACAGCAGAAACCCTGTAGCTCAGTGGTTCCCAACCTTCCTAATGCCGTGACCCTTTCATACAGTTCCTCATCTGGTATCCCGCCAACCATCACATTATTTTCATTGCCACTTCATCACTGTCATATTGCTACTGTTATGAATCGGGTGACCTCTGTGAAAAGGTTGTTCGACCCCCAAAGGGGTCATGACCCACAGGTTGAGAACCTCTGCTGTAGAGGGTCTTGATGAACCAGAATCAACTGAATGGCAGTGGTTTCTTTCTTTTTTTTTTTGTAGAAATTTAATTCTTTTAATTCCATTTTCCACAAATATACTGTGCCTCCACATATTTATGATTATGTCTTCTTTTTTTAAAAACATTTTATTAGGGGCTCATACAACTGTTATCGCAATCCATACACACATCAATTGTGTAAAGCACATTTGTACATCGTTTCTCAAAACATTTTCTC